TTAGTAATTAGGTAATATTTACATGATACACTCAGTGGGAGGAGGTCCTCTCTCTGCAGCTCTATTTTCATGCTCTTTTGCATAACTGATTACATTCAGTTTGAATTTTGCAGAGTAAAATTCGCTTATTTATTTTTTTATTTTCCGACATCTTTATGGGCTCAGAATGCTCTTTAGTTATTACCGGTCCCTGTCGCATCTGCGCACTGCCTACATGCTCTCCACCTCCAACGGGATGTGTTCCAATTGGTTTGTTCAGCATCAACTAACGTCAGTTACATAAGGCTTGTGATTGGAGGAAGCCTGTTTGCAGAGACAAAATATGGGCAGTTTCACTTGTGATTGGAGGCTCGTGATTGGAGGGAGCCTGTTTGCAGAGACAAAGTATGGGCAGTTTTGCAACCGTGCGGTTCTCTCCTCGGCTTGCTTCCTTGCATAAGATGACCGTCAATTCTTATTGTAACGATTTTAGAAAACAGTATCGTCTTATACATGGAAAAATATGGTATACAGTGGGGCAAAGACTTAACTCCCTCAAATCCTGGTGCTTATTTTCAAATTAGATAGCTCTTAGTGTTTATTAGTTACCCACTCCCCTAAATTTAGGGCTAATTTCAGTTATTTTATTGCTCATGATGTTTGTTCAGGATGCTTTTATGTTCTTAGTTTTCAGCTGCTTTTAGCTGTTTTGTACTTTTCTGTTTTGTATAGGTTTACATTGTTCACTTTTAGTGCTTATGCTTCTAGCACACTCTGCATTGGTCTTGCTCTATTGCAGTTTTAATTTAGTCTTATTTTTATCTGTATTCTGGTCTTGGACCATATCAATAAAGATTTGATTTAGTGTAGAGTTGTTTCTGGAAGAGATAAGTGAAGAATGTCCAGAGTATATAATCCTAGCCGGGTCACCCAAGGTGAGGTCATTCCAACTGCCCAGCTGAAGGAAGCAGGGACATATGTCGGGCAGCAGGGATATGGGGAGATGCTAGAAGCAGATGATCATTTTGATGGCAAGGGCAAAGGTGGCACTTCATATTGCATGGAAGAGTGATAAACTACTCTTATATTTTACCAAGAAAACCATGTAGATAGACAAAATAAAGGGATTGATGATATAATGCTGGATTATGGGCCCCGAAGTTGTATCGCACTTGACATGTTACTGAACAACTAAGAATCTTCTGGAATACTAATGGTGCAGCTAGATGGAAGCCTTTTGGGAGTCTAGTTGCTGATTTTGCGATGTAGGAAAAGAAAATTGAAGCTGCAAAGGCAGAATTACAGTGGTGACATGGAATGCAAGAAGCACAAATGTGGGAAAACTCAACACAGTGAAAGGTGAAATGAATCAACTACACATTGACATCTAGGCATCAATGAACTGAATTGGACTTTCAGTTAGAATAGCGTACTGTTTAGCATTCAGGACATGAAAAACAAGGAACAGTGATGGTTTCATAGTCAGAAAGGATATAGCAAAGACAGTATCTGGGTACAATTCTACAAGGAGGTAGAATAGCTCAGTTATAACAACAAAATTGTGGCCAGGGGCTGACTGTAGAACAGATCACAAACTGCTCATGTGCAAGTTTTAAGTCAAGTTAAAGCAGAAAAAGAACGCCAACCAACTTCCATGGTATGATACTGAGAATAATCATTATGATGATGATGATGATAATAATAATAATAAAAAATTATTAAATATAAAGGCACCCTCTCCTCTGCCTTCTGCAGAGAAAAAACAAAGCCCTCTAACTAAAAAACAAGAGGAATTGAAACAAAGAATAACTGAGCATCTAGAACAGCACAAAAACAACAGAATAAGGTTGCCTGCATTGCAGTTTGTTACAGAGAAACTAACACAAGTATTAAACAATGCCAATACTGTAGTATCAAATATAAGCACCAGCTCACTGCAGAAAACAAACCAACTAATGTACAGCACGGCTGCAGTTATAACTGAATGCCTTGGATGCAAAATCAACAAACAAGGAAAAAAACTAAACAGTGCACTACCAAAATAGAAGATCAGGTTAGAAAATAAAATCATCATGCTAAGATCTGATGCAAGCAATCTAGAACAGATGAAAGAAAAGAAGCTGAAGAACAAGAAGACCAAAGAATACCTGATCAAGAAATATCACCTAGAAACAAGGAAGATCAAGGAAGCACTGGAAATAATAAATCAGTGAATAACAGCCATAGCCAAGAAGATCAGCAGATATGAAGCTCGAATTGCACACTATAGGCAGGATCTCAAGACCAAAGAATACCTGATCAAGAAATATCACCTAGAAACAAGGAAGATCAAGGAAGCACTGGAAATAATAAATCAGTGAATAACAGCCATAGCCAAGAAGATCAGCAGATATGAAGCTCGAATTGCACACTATAGGCAGGATCTCCAATTTCAGTCAAATCAGAAATGTTTTTACCAATGGAGAGACAGCAATGAACTAGTCAACGCCTGACAAAGAAGAAACAGTGCAGTTCAGGATGCAATGAGTGGATGCAAACCAGTCAGATGTTTCAACCAAAAACCATGCAGTTATCTTCACCTGGCAATTTAACAACATACTGCAAGGAGGTGAAATTGAAGATTGGTTAACATCTGGCAAAACCTACCAGATAATGAAAGATCAAATAAAGGGGCAGCACCAGGCAATTACAGGCCAATTACATGCTTACCAACAACTTTCAGATTGCTAACTGGTGGTGTAGCTGATGCAGTCCAACAGTATCTAGTTGAAAACAAGCTCTTTCCACCTGAACAGAAAGGAAACTGCCCAAACAGCAGAGGGACAAAAGGTCAGCTCTTAACTGACAAGATGATTTTTGAAAACGTAAAGAGAAGGAAGACCAGTTTGAATGTAGCTTGGATTGATTACAAGAAAGCATTTGATTCCCTGCCATATGATTGGATAATCAAATGCCTAGAAATAACATGAGTTAGTTGAAACATCAGTAGGTTTGTGAAATGATCAGTGGCACAATAGAAGACACAGTTGCTGGTCAATGGTGATAGACTGGGAGAGGTTAATATCAAGAGAGGAA